CAGAAAGGCTTGTCCTGGCCTGCCTTGGCCAGGACGCCGCACGGGTTTCTTCCGCTGTAGAACTACCCCCGTGACAACGTGGCAAGCTTATCTAGACGGAAACTGCAACTACGAGGTCTATAGGCCCCAGACCCACCTACCCTTTTCCACGTTCCATTCCATATTCCCATGACTGAAGTTCTTCAACATGTTTTTCATGTGTGACTGTCTAAGTAAATGTGGATAGAAATCTTAGAGTCTGTTTGGCATGTTTTTTCGTACAGTCTTTCGGATGTTTACAAGTCAGAAAGACTGATTTTTGATCTATTTCTGTTTGGTTTGCGAAAAATTTAGCCGCTTAAAAATGGTGCACTGAAAAGATATGAGAAATCCATTTTGGAAAGCTTCAAATGAAACTTCTTATGTTTTTCACATTTTAATCTCGTGTAGAAAAATACGGGCAAATGGCTATATCTATTAAACTGCCCAAATCTTATGTCAAAAGCTCAATACATCTTTTAACTATCAGAATTACAAGATCTTCTCAAAAAGACACGCCAAACAAACCCTTAATGAATCCCCAGTCCTCCCTGATATCTTGATTTTAATTTCCAAAAAACGAAAATCTCTTAGCGTTTTAGCTGTTGTCTTTGCATTAGATTTTCTTTTATTGGATTGGATGTTGGAACAGACCAGCAACCTTCATTTTCCGCTTTGGAATTTGAGCATGCAACCACAATGTCCTTTCTTTTATTTAATTTCCACTTGGCCTCATCTCCATCTATGCTCCAACAGGAACGAGATCTGCTCCTCACAAATGGGCGCTTCACATGCACATCCACTGTGCATAGGAAACATCTCTCATGAATAATATTTAATAAATACGGGAAATATTCTCAATTCATGGCCTGTGAGGCGCCAGGTGTGAGAAGCAGATCCGGTCTCGATCCAACATCCCTCGACACTCAAGTGCTTGTCCAGTTGTCCTAATCCTAAATAAAGATAACTTGTTCAGAATAAGAAGAATGGAAGACTGATCAATGCGAATGCTGCCGCTCCACATCTGGACAATTGCTTCTGACTTCAGATATGGACCCTGCCTAGTGTCTCCGCCTCTTCTCAAGATCTCAAACCCATATCGTCGAAGCAAGTCAACAACTATGAGCCGTGTGATTCTAATAAGATACACGTTCTGCTCATCTACGCACCCTAAACCAACTGCGTTGATGTTTAATAACACCCAATCCGAAACATAGGGCGCTGATCTTCCAAATCCAACAACCCCTTAAGGCCTTAACCCTTTCTCGCAATTCGCAAAGGTGGATCATGGATGAAGATGGTGGACCCAATTCGTGGGCGCCGTGGTGGTGGGTCCTATACTCCTATCCCGTTCTCGTCTCGTTTTCGGAATTCGGATGATCACAAAGCTTCCAAGTTCTTCCGGGCCTTCTGGCTGGGGCCTGGGGGACCCTGAACCCATACAGTAAAAAGTGTTCTATTCTTTGATTTCTTCCGTAGGACGTACTGGGGTCCACCTTGATGAGCATAGGCGGCTGATGGGAACTTTGGATGATCAATGTTCCAATCCAACGGTTTCACCCTGTTTATGAAAGCCTAGATTTTATTTTTCTATCCGAGGAGAAAAGGAGTCCACCTCTACCTGACTTCCTCTGCTCCCTTCCCCCCTTCTCCGCGTTTCGCTCCCTCGTAAACCTTCTTTCACCTCACGCACACTCTCTTCCTTCCTCTTTCTCTCTCTCTCTGATGAGAGATCAGAACCATTAGAAAAAATAAATATATCAGTATCAGAACAAATACAGAGAGAAAGAAGAGAAAATGACCCTTTTTTCCCTTCCTCTCATGACCTCATCGCCTTGCCTTTGTTTCTCCTCTCTTTCTTTCCCATCCCATTCCATGATTGACAGCTCCAATCGCAGAATTCTCCATATGGGTTTTCTTTGCCATCTAGTTCTGGACTGAACCCGTATCTCTGTTTTTACTCTATCCGGTTCTTTCTCTCCGTAGGATCAACTGCCACCGTCAATACAGTTTCTTACGTTTTCTCCATGGCTGGTGGCATCAATTTTTTAAATTCCAAGCATGGGTCCATTCCCCCCTTATTTTCATTTCAAAAGCCCATGTTTTCATGTTCCTTCGTTGTCTCTCTTTCTCGAGCTCGACTACTTCCTTCACACCCCCTACGAGCGATTTAATCTTTAAATTCAAGAATGACTTTGGCTCCGTTTTCGATGTTCTTTAAAGCCCACATCTTCTTTTCCTCTATATATGTCTAGAACAGCTCTTTCTGTTGTTTCTCAATTTGTTGGCTTTTAGATGCTTGTTCGAGGGAAGAAAAGAGTGAACCATGTACTTGTCTGAGAAACCCCGTCCGATTGATTTCTATAAGGAGGAAGGACGTGACATGATGATTGAAGTCGTCGGCAATGGGGGTTTGCCGCTCCAGCAACAACCACAGCAGCAACAGCCGCAGATGATTCTTGCCGAGAGCAGTGGAGAAGACCATGAGGTCAAGGCTCCCAAGAAGCGAGCGGAGACTTGGGTCCAGGAGGAAACTCGAAGCCTCATCAGTCTTCGCCGGGAAATGGATAGTCTCTTCAATACTTCAAAGTCGAACAAGCACCTCTGGGAGCAGATTTCGGCGAAGATGAGGGAGAAGGGTTTCGACCGTTCCCCAACCATGTGCACTGACAAGTGGAGGAATTTGTTGAAGGAATTCAAGAAGGCAAAACACCAAGAAAGAGGTAGTGGCTCGGCAAAGATGTCTTACTACAAGGAATTGGAGGAGTTACTCAGGGATAGGAACAAGAATGCCGCTTACAAGAGTCCCACACTTTCCAAGGTCGATTCCTACATTCAATTCTCAGATAAAGGTACGCGTTTTTTCCTTTTCTGGTTTCTCTTTCTGCTTTCTATATTTAATCAATATGAGATTTGTTTTTGCTAAAGCTTCTTAAGAATTTCAGTTGTTCGCAACAGTATTTATATGAAATTTGTTCCTTTTCGCATACAATTTTCTTCAACATTTTAGCTTTAAAAATTGATGGAATTTTATGTAACCTTGAATGAGCATAAATATCCACAGTAATCTCATTGTCTGCAAATTTCCTAGAAGGCTAGAAACCATATTTATTGCGTCTAATAATGCTCAATAACGATAATTACTTTTTCTTACTTTCTATGTTATGGACCTTCATAAATAAATATTAACCAGATAAAAGGGAAAAGTCTACAACTTTCTTTATGCATTTACGGATTCTGCTGTTGAAATTGTACCTACTGTTGACTCTTGATGCTTAAGTTCCAAAATTTGTATCTTACATTTCACAAAATTTTAGTCCCCATCACCAATTTTTAGTAACTAGAACATAGAAAGAGCCTTTTCCATACAGGCTGCTAGAGCCTCAATTATGTTTTTTTAAGATAAATAGAGCCTAAATTATGTTGTCTATACAGCATCTGAATTTTGTTCGTAGGTATCTTGCAAGATAAGGGAACATGAAAGTTTAAGACCTCTTGATTGGCTTATCTAAAGTAGTTTTTGATTGCCATCATTGGATGCCTGTAAGCATTATTTTTCAAAGCTTCCATCCTTTTGGCAACACTGCTTTATTCAATTTACTTAGAGATTTGCTAATTTCTTAATTCTTATTGATTAGAATGGTGGAACAGGATTTGTGTCTGTTGCTGATCCCATATGGTTGGGAGTTCGGACAATGCTTAGTTGAGTTTAGTTCTTAATGCTCATTGAGTGGAAGTGGCCTTGCCCAATGAAGCTATACATATAACACCTGAACTTGGTTCTTGTGTTGTCCTGTGCAATGTTTATGTACATTCTGTACTACAGTTCTCTCCATTTAAAGGATTGTGAAAAGTATGGACCATGTAGTGCTGCTTATCAAAGTTGTGTTATGGAGTTCTCTTTAATTCATTTAACTAACGGTAACTCTCATTCATGTGAGAATCTTGTTGAATAAAATTTCTGTGCATGTCAAACTGGAGAATTTATTCTGTCTTGCTGCACTCATCAACCTAAATCAAGGTTGAGTGTGCACAACTTAGACAACACCAGACTGGTAGAATTTGATATTGATTTTGAGAAAGCTGGTGAAATTAGAGTCATAAATCATTCCTCTTTAAGTGTGCTTTAGGAAATGGAAAGAGGAAGAAGTTAGAGTCATAAATTATCCCTCCCAAACGAAGAAACACACTTTCGAGGGAACAAACTTGCACCAGATCTTCTTGAAAGGGAAGGCACAGTCCCGGTCTCCTGCAACCAGAGCCTTGAGGAAAGACTTGGAAGAGAACTCACTGACGGGGTGGGGTTTCCAGACATGGGAGTCTTGGGAGTTTGGGGAAATGTAGGATTCTCTAAGAGAGAGGAGGAGATCAGTTAGCTCACTGATCTCTGAGTCCCTTAAGGGTCTTCTAAGGCTCAAATTTATGTTGTTTTCATTGGGAGAAGTGGGGAGACACTGAGAGATGGTTGCTTCTTTGTTTAGGGTGAGATTGAAAAGTCTAGGATAAGATTCTACTAATGTGGAATTGCCCCACCACAGGCCTGTCCTGAACTTTATTCTGGTACTATTACCCACTCTAAATCTTATGAAAAGAAAAAAGATGTTGTGTATGGAAGTGATACCTTTCCAAGGATTTGAGGAAGCTAATCGGTTTGAGCGGAGATTGCAGTCCCAACTGTTTGTGTTTAACCCATACTTGCTAGTGGTGACAACTACCCAAAGGGAATTCGTTTCAATGGGGAATCTCCACAGCCATTTACTGATAAAAAAAATCTCCACAACCATTTCCCGAGTAATGCATTGTTCTTCCCTTTTAGGTGTCCAATCCCCAACCCTCCAGATTCTTTAGGCTTGCAGACCTGACTCCAATTTATTTGATGTCTTTTTTTTCACCTCCACCTTCCCATAGGAAATCTCTTTGAAGTTTCTCAATCTGTGACCTGATTTTGGCAGGGATTTGGTACACTGAGAGGAAGTAAACGGGCAGATTTGCAAGGGAAGCCTTAATGAGGGTAAGTCTACCCCCTTTTGATAGATAACAGTGTTTCGAAGTGGCTTTTTGGGTTCCCGCCAAGAGGCAGGCCCAAATAAGATAGGGGGAAGTTTTCAACTCAGCAGTTCAGAGTTTCCTTGAAGCTTTCCAAGAGGGTTTCTTCAATTTGGTTTATAGTCGGTAGGCTAATTTTTGAGTAATTTACCCTCAAACCAATGACTAATTCGAAACAATGAAGCACCCTTTTCACATTATTAATATTCTCCAAGTTAGCTTCCAGAAATAGGATGACATCATCTGCAAATTGGAGACGGGAGACATTAAGAGTATCTCTTCCTACCTCGAAACCTTTAATTAAATTGAGGCTTTTGGCTTTTTTCACTAGCTGGATAAAAACATCCATTACCAAAGTGAAAAGGAAAGGGGAGAGAGGGCAGCCTTGTCGGAGATCTCTACTTGCTTTAAAGTAACCTTTGGCATCTCCATTTACCATGACCAAGAACCAGTTTGAGCTTATACAGCCTTTCATCCACTGCAGCCATTTCATGCCAAAGCCCCTCAATTTCAGAACTTGGAGAAGGCAGTCCCAGTCTACTTTTTGTAAGCTTTCTCAAGATCTAGTTTCACAAGGAGACCCGACCTTCCACTCTTCCTTCTATCTTCAACAATTTGATTTGCTATTGGGATGCTGTCCACAATTTGTCTTCCTTTCATGAAGGCAAACTGGTCTGGAGAAACCAGCTCTCTTAGGACTTCTTTTAGTCTTTTTGCTAACATTTTTGCCAAAATTTTGTACACACTCCCTACTAAACTTATTGGTCTAAGTCTTTCACTTCCAAGACACCATCTTTCTTTGGGATGAGGCAAATAAAGTTAGAGTTACTTCCTTTGTTTACAACAGCCGAGGAGTGGAAATCCTTGAAAACCTCCAAAAGATCATCTCTTGCAATGCCCCAACAGATCTGAAAGAAGAAAACGGGGAAACCATCGGGCCCAGGGGCTCTATCACCATCCATATCAAAGACTGCTTCCCTTATTTCTTGCTCCTCAAAATCCCTTTAAAGCCAAGGCCTCTTATCTTTGCTAGAGTTGACCCGTCCCAACTTCTTAAGGTAAACTTTCTAAAACGACTCTATGATTTCATTTGCATCTTCCACCTCCCTTTGGTCCACCTTGATTTTTGAGATGAAATTTTTTCGATGTCTGCCCGACGCATAACTGTGGAAAAATTTTGAGTTATTATCGCCTTCCTTTAACCATCTAACCCTTGACCTCTACCTCTAAAAGATTTCTTCTTTTTTGATCACCTTTTCCCAAGAACTCCTTAAACCTTCTCTCCTACTTCTTCCTTCTCTGTCCAGAGTGCCTAATTGTTCCTTTTTGTCTAGGTCTTCCAGCTCCAAAAGGATAGCAATTCTTTCCTCTGCAAAAGATTTGAATTCTTCTCTCCCCCAGGATTTCAGTTTTCTTTTCAGGAATTTCAGATTTTTCATCAATCTGTAACCAGCCCAGCCTTCAACTCTACATTCCTCCCACTAGGAAGCCACATTTTTGTGAAAATCCTTATGTAAAGTCCACACTTTTTCTTCTCTAAATGGGGATTTACCTTTCAGAACCAAATCTGTTCTCAGGACTAATGGCCAGTGGTCTGAAGTGCAGCGAGGTCTGATTTCTTGGAGAAGATTTGGGAATGTTCTACCCAATCTGAAGTTACCAGAAACCTATCTAGTCTGCAGCTTATTAAGTTTTCTTGTAGATTTGACCAAGTGAATTGGCCGTTATGGAGAGGGAGGTCGCAAAGGTTATGCCTCTAGTTACTAATCTTCTATTAGAATTTTCTTGGTAAAACCTTGTGACGTTAAAGTCACCTCCTGGGACCCAAGGGAGCTCATCAAACTCGTGTAGAGGGTCCAACTCTTCCCAAAGTTTTTGCCTATCTGCAGGAGCGTTTGGTCCATATGCTCCAATCAGAATCCAGCTGAAACCATCATTTTTATTGGTAAAGAGCACAGAGTTGACCAAATGAGTCTCGTCCTCGATCTCTCTCTAGGCTTGCTGGCTCACAATCGATCCTGTACTCAGGGTTGACCAAATGTGTCTGTTCGAATAGTTCACTTCCCTAAGCTTCCATTACCAGCGAACAGGTCTTTGGTCCTTGAGAACTCCACCTCCCTAGGATCTGGTTTGGCCTCCGTTGCATAAGAGCTCGAATCCTCAACTACATCGATGCCTTTCGACTCAAAGATTGAGGAGTTTATGCTATCTGGTGATGGAGGTCTATAAATCTTTCTGTTGTGTCTTTCTGAATTAGGAGGAGTTTTAGGGATTGGCTCGGTTAAGAAAGTTGTGGTCTCAGATAGACTTGGGCTGCATGGGGCTTCTTTCAATCTTGGCGATTGGACTTTAGAAAGATCTCGGCCCAAAACTTGAAGCGGGTTTGGAGCCCCTAACTAGTGGGTCTTGTTAGCAGTAGAATGACCCACTTTTTGGAGACGATTTGAAATTTGAACGGGGTTGTCGAGAGAGGCTTGGCCCGCCTTGCTTTTTCGGCTCCTCTTTTAAGAGGCCTAGAAGTAGTTCTTTTGGGAAAGAATTTAGGCTTCTCAAAATGGTCACTATTTGGCAGTCTACTTCTGTTTTACGAAAGTTCCCGGAAAGGGATTTTGAGCACGCAGGAGCTTCAGGCCCTTTGGGGGATGAAGGAGCTGAGTTGACTCGGCAGGTTGTGAAGATGACTCGGTCGGCTTCTCCACTTCTACAGAGAGGTAAAACCAGATGTTCCTCTCTAATAGAGATATTGAGTGGGGGATCGTGTGAACTCCACAGCTCCTTACCTTTATGTGTGCGAAACTCAAGGCTGAAAGGTTCTTCATTTCGCCATCAATCTCCTCAAGGCCATAACACAAGCTTTCGATCAGGGTAAATGATTCCTCAGTCCAAAGGTGAAAGGGCAGGCTGTGAACTTTTAACCATCCATTAAAGTCTAGCTGGTCTGGAACAGTGTTAACCATGGGAACCCATTGATCTAAGAGGACTGGTTTTCTATACAGCAGGATTTTCTTTAGGCTGACCCATCTTAGGACTAAATCCTCAGAAGGAGCAAAACCCACCGCCCTTTGGAGTCGATCGGGTGGAGGCTTACAAGCTCATGGGTATGGGTTCCCGGTTTGTCTAAAAAAAATCCACTTCTCTCCACTAAAGTGTTCCTGGTTTGGTACAAACAAAAGCTTGCTTTCACTTGCCAAACGGTTTATCTTGGTGGACCACTGAAATGAACGAAGACCCTTCTGCCTTTACAACTTTACTTCTTTTCTCAAGTTGAGGAAAGAATCCCAAGGAGAGGTCGGGGGGGGGGGGGTCAGGGTTTTCTTTTGAGGGAACTAGAGCATTTAGCAAGCTTTTGAACCACTTCCAGCCTCCATTGGATGGCTCTTCAGGTAAGCATATGTTTCTCCACTTATAATTTTTTTCTCAACTACTCAAGCGGATGAACCTACCCCATTTATTCTCTTTTAGTTGAAGGATAAGAACTCTGCCCTTTTTGTTTCGGTTTTTATCCTCCAGTGATTGTTTCAGGTTCCTGAGCACCTTTTGAATGAAATTTCTCCACCATTTTACTTCCTCGAAAGTTAGAACCAGTCTCGTCCAGGCTCCTCTGCTCCTTTCTGTCACCTCGATCACTTTTTTTCCATCTGCCTGTATTTCCAAATCAAACGTCTTCACACCGATCACTGCTGTTCTTCTCCATAGCTGCTTTGACATCAGCAATGTCTTTTGTGCTGAAAACTTTTCCATGAAGATGAGGATTCTTCGCTATCCTAAAATTCAAGGGTCTAACCATGGGGCCAAGTATCTTTATCTACAGAGTGAATGCTACTTATGAAACCCAAGTGTATTTATGATGTAATGGCTGGTAACTTTAGCTTCACAGAGCCTCCTAGACCAGGTTATATGGTTCATGATATTTGCACTGACCATGGCCCAAGTCCCTTATTTTGTTTTATTTTTGATTAGTCCCAAGTCATGAAATATTATCATAAATTGGCTATATTTTGTTTGCCATGCAATAGAAATATTGGAGAATCTTTATATAAATGAGTACACCCTTAAGGCACACTTTAGCACTATAACTACTTCAATTATTCTTTTTTTTTTGGTTTTTGCCCTATAACTACTTCAATTGTCATATGCTTCTAACATTTTCAAGCTGTTTGGGTTGAGGCATGTTTGTATTTTTCATCTGTTCAAACAAAATTTCTTAGCGGCATGATAAAATGTTTTTGTTTTCAGGATATTTTGAATTCTGACAATTGTTCTGACTGTTTTTGGTTCCTAGGTCTTGAAGATGCCAGTATTCCTTTCGGATCTGTAGAAGGTACTGTTGCTGTGTTGCATTTGAATTTGGTTGTCATAAGCATTTTCTTTGTATCTCTGAATTCCATGTTATGTAGTATGCTTTATAATCTACTTTCAGGTAGAGTAGGCCATTTTTACAAAATCACAGATCTTATTCACAAGCTGGCATTTATCCAATATGTGGATAATCAGTGTTCTCTATACTGGACAAGATAAGACCGAACTTATCTCTGGGTGCTTCAGTATTCATGACACTTTACTATCTGAAAAGATAGAAAATTGTCCTCTATTAGAAGAAACTGAAGAAAATCAAGAAATGGGATGTTGGAATAAGATGGGATTTGTTTTGTGCTGCTTGTTGAAATTTAAATTACTAAGGTGGTGTTTGATAAATCTGAAATCTGAAAAGTTAAAAAGATATTAAAAGGGTCTGAAATCTGAAAAGAGACAGTTGTTTTTTGACTTTTTAGAGGCTCTGAATAAAGAAGGTTGTTTGTGTTGGATCAAACCTTCCGCATCTGAAATTCACTAATTTTACTATTTTACCCCTAAATTAGATTATTCAGTTGCAGCGGCGAGAGAAGAAGAAAGGGGAGAGAGAGAGAGAGAGAGAGAGAAGGCTAGAACTCGCCGCCGCTAGTTTCTGAAAGGAGAGAGGCAAGAGTTCAAGGGTATTTTGGACTTTTGGCCAGGTCTGAAATGCATCTGAACGCGTTCAGTGCTTGGCCCATGTCTTATTGTTTCAGATCTGAAAATGATTTTCAGACCCAAATTCAGATACACTTCCAAACACCTCTGACGTCTGAAAAGCAACATTTTCAGACTTCATAGGTCTGAAAAGTGTTATCAAACGCCACTTAAATCTCAAAGTAATAAGATGACCAATGATATCATTTTTTAGTCCAATCTATCTTCTGAATAGAATGCATCTATATGAACTCAAATATTTTCCTAGAGTGATGATGGTCACAAGCAGCTCAAATCCTAGGTAAAAATACAGAATGTTTTAGCCTAGTAGCCATAGTCCTACTATATTGTTCTGGAAGCATTCAAGCTCTTTATCAGTTTTATTAGTATTTATGGCCTTGACAGAGTGGAATTGTGAAACAGGACTCCTGTAGCCAACCCATTATAGTTGGAGGTAGGCTTTCTTGAGTTGAGTTCATAGTTCCAATTAACTGAAATGCAGATGTGCACTCATCAAAAATGAGAATTTTGTTGTTTTCTGTAGCATCCAAAGAAGAAAAGACCCTTCTTAGTGAGCAAGTGGCTGCAAAGATCTTTCTTCTAGTTGTTCTTCTGTGATCAAGGTCCATGGTTTTTTAGGTTATTGTGGTATCCAATTTTCACCTCAATAATGGAAGTCTGGGTTGGTCTCCTAGTGTGAGGTCCTTCAATAAGGAGAAATCTCCTTCTGGGTTTGTTATTTATGAAGTGTGAAAGGATATGCAGATAATGAGTTCACTTGATAGATTGACTCATTGACCATAAAACCAAAAGAAATCGGTCTTATCATTTAAAAAAATAAAAGAATCCTATACATCAGCCACTAAACTTATTTTGATGGTATACAATGAGTATATGGGCAAAACCCACCTAGAAACAAAGCAAGAACAAGGTGGCCACAAGAAAAAGAAACAACCCTGCAATCACTATACATCAACCACTAAACAAAGAGACTCAAGAGCTCCATTTAGTTCAAAAACCAACAGACCTCGAAGGTAAGGCAAAGACCGGAGGTCCCCAATTAAATCAAAACCACAATGACCCCCAAAATTCCCCAACAGACCCTTTGAACATCCTCTTTCCATCTTCTTATGATCTCTCCCACTTGCCATATTAGGGGACATTTGAGACTCTTTTCTCCACCTTCTGACCTCTCCCTCTAGTTGTCTTGGGTAGTTGGGTTCAATTTATCTCTTTCAATAATTTTATGGATATCGAAATCAACTTCATCTCCTTTGTTGTTAGTCTGAATTTTTTTGGTGTTCTTTAATCTTCCACTTCATTCCCTCATTTCCAATTTCCTGAATCTCTCCACAAGGTCCTCGCCTCCCACTCCCACCCATCCAAAAACAGAAAGAAAGGTAAAACGTGAAGATTTTGCCACATGCATTTTCTACTGGATCACTGACTTAGTGGGTAGAGACCTATTTAAGAGAACAAGTTCTGCCAACATGGATCCCCAGCTCAGCCACCTCCTCACCCTCAATCTCCAGTTTGTCACTAGCCTTAATATAATCTTCATGACCACCAAATATCAACTTGGTGACTTGCCACAGGACAACAGTCCCTGCACATTGCTGACTGGGAGAACCTGAGAAATGAGAGTTGCCATCCCTGAAGCTGACTTGATTTGGACATTATTATGGTTCTGTGCAGTTTTATAAATCTTATGATTCTATTTAAGTTGTACTTGACAAAAACAAAGCAGGTGTTCCATTTTAAGCACAGTTTCAAATGTATATAGATCTCATGATTCTACTAAAATATAGTCTTAACTCCTAAAAGAACTCTAATAACTTGTTACTAAACTAAACCACCAAAGTAACTGCAACAAAGACCCATGTAGAAACTTTCAACTGTTGTCACATACAACCTATTACTAAAATGGCCATAACCAACTAAAAATGTGCTGGTTTTATGGATATTTGCCTCGTTGAAACCCAACAACCTATCCAATGACACAAGTATGCAAAACTGACAAATGCTGACCCTGAAAAATAGGCTAAAAGAAATGTGACATGATTGTTTATATAAGAACTTTCAAATAAGGGCGGTATTTGGCAAGTCTTTTTGTGTGATCTTCTGGGCTTTGACAGGCTCGAAAGACCAATAGCTGAATTTCTTCTTCCATGGTTTCTTTCATTTGCCCCTTACTGCATCATTGAGTCTTACAGATCTTATTTCATGTTCTTTCTTTTTTTACTTTCTCTTTGTTTTGGAGCTTCTAGACTACACTGAATCACAGCACACTAGTGCCATAAATAGGAAAAGTTGTGTAATGATTATGTTTCACTTCTGCTACATTAAATTTTAAATAGCTGTTTCCAATAAAAAAAAGAGAAACATCAATTTTTAAACAATCTGTGGCATGACAACCTGTTCCCAAGTAAACCACGTGGACCATCTAAAGAAGGGTTTTCTGGAAAAAGAAGAAAAAATGGATATATACTTGTACTGAACAATTCACAAGCTTTTCTATGAGGAATGGTCGATGTTGATTTGTAGTATTTGAATCACTAAGGAAACTTGTCCATAAATCATAAAATCCATGCAGGATAAATCAATGTACAAGCCTTTCTTTCCTATTTACTGATTTATGCCTTTTCTTTGAATAATTCCTTGTAAGTTTTTAAATGGATGTATACTTGCTTCATGTACAGCTACTGGCAGGTCAACACTCAACCTTGAAAGGCGTTTGGATCATGATGGACATCCTCTTGCCATTACCACAGCTGATGCAGTTGCAGCCAGTGGAGTTCCTCCATGGAATTGGAGAGAGACCCCTGGAAATGGTAGGTCTTTCAAATTATCTCCATTGTAGACACTGTTTTGGAAGCATCACAAGTTATCTATCTATCTATCTATCTATCAATCATATATATATATATATATACTGAATTTATTTGTTATGTGCAATGTCTGGCTTGTTGAAAGGAAAGTACAAAATTAAAATCTATCTTCTATGCCCTGAATTCTCAAGCTATTGCATCACACATGATTAGAGTTGTTTTCCATTCCTAGCAGTTTAGAGATCAGTCACCTGTCTAAAGTGGAACTGGAGAATGCTATTTCTATGGTTCACTCCTTCAGGAATTTATCACACGAACCTTGCTCCTGTAGGAAATTGCACAACCTAGTTGTACAGCTGTAGAGGGAAATTGTTGTTGCTTTCTCCTTTATATATTGAGCTAAACTCACTTGTGGGTTACAGTGATTTAAAAGGCATGCCTAGGTGCACAGGTGAGATGCGTTTCAGGGTATGCGCCTAGGCGTGCACTTGATGCGCCTTGCGCCTCAGCCCAAGTGTGCACCTTTTGAAAATTTGATGCTTTTTTGCTTTTTTTTTGAACATAGCGGCTATAAAATGTCTTTTTAAAAAGCAATTAAAACTATAAAATCATTATTTTTATATTAAAACTAAGAATTTAAGACCTAACGTGGACTTGTTTGGGCTTGCCTCAAGGGGCGTGGCACAAAGGTGGCTCATAGAATCAAGAATGTAATATGTTTTACATTACATTAGCTACTTTAAGTAATGCAATTGAGTGAAAAGAGATATTAGAGGTTTTACATGCTTGAAAATGTTTTTTATGTTTGATTTTATTTTTGAATTCTCATTTGAATATGCTTTACTTCTTATGTTTATGTATTTTAGTTTTAGATAATAGGTTTTTTAAAACATTATTTTAAAATTTAAGTTTATATTTTTTTACTAATATTATGTTTAATATTTTTTGTATGAAAAGGTGCGTGCCTCGCCTTGTGCCTTGAGCCTCAGGCGCAAATTGACCCCTGCGCCTTGTGATTTTAAAACACTGGTGGGTTATTTACTAACCATTAGAGTTTCTCTTTTATTTACTCGAGGCATGAATTTTCCACCTTGTCATGGAATTACATTCTGACATCAAGACCGGTGCATTGATTTTAAAATTTTTCACTTTTATTGGTTTCATAAGGCAAAATCATTATTCTCTTTGGCAGGTGGGGAGAGCCACTCTTATGGAGGGAGGGTTATATCAGTCAAGTGGGGCGAATACACTAGAAGGATTGGCATCGATGGAACTGCAGATGCAATCAAGGAAGCAATAAAGTCCGCATTTGGATTAAGGACCAGGCGGGCATTTTGGTTGGAGGATGAAGATGAGGTTGTTCGGAGCCTTGACAGGGACATGCCATTGGGAAATTACACCCTTCACCTTGATGAGGGTAACGTGAAATGGTTTCATGAACACTTAAGGGGGTGTTTGCCAACATGTATAATTTTGTTTTTCAAAATAAAACCTGTCTGTCATAATCATGTTGCTGAACCGAAAATCCCCTTGGTCAACGAATGGGTGATCTCTTCAAGTCAATATAACTAACAAATCTTTTCTTGTGTTTCAGGATTGACAATAAAAGTTTGCTTTTATGATGAGTCAGGTCGCATACCTGTTCGTACTGAAGAAAAGACACTCTACACTGAAGAAGATTTCCGTGATTTCCTTACCAGGCGAGGTTGGACGGGTCTAAGAGAGTTAAGTGGCTTCAGAAGCGTCGATACTCTGGACGATCTCCGTCCTTGTGCAATGTACCAGGGTGTGAGACTATTAGGGGACTAAAACCTAAGGGGGGATTGCTTGCTTTGGGAAATCCTAATTCCTATTATGATGAGAGCATTAAATCTTCAATAGTATATTGATGCTGTTCGTAAGCTGCATAAGATGCAATAGTACTTCATCTTATTGAGCTTCCTTGTCAGGGTAGCTGTTTCGGTTTTTGTTTTTCTTTTTTTTTAACTTCATCACGCTGTAACAAACAAACAATCTTGCTCAATTGTGTATAGTCCTTTAATGGAATAGTTGGAGGAAAGCAAATAGGCCTATGTTCACAGAATACATGGTTAGGGGGAATTCCCCGTACATAAAAATCGTATGTGTCTTGACAAATCCAGTATAAATATGTATGGGTTTATGTACTCCGCTTCCCCTTTGACTACCTATCCGGCAAATTGAGCAAAGAGAGATCATTCAAATGGTTGTGGGTAGTTCGTTGGAAGGGAATCATGGTGTCTTCGAAGCAATGGTATATCAGGAAGAACAATTCAAGCCCTGTTTGGCAATGTTCCCACCTATTTCTATTCTTGAGGAAATTCTTATTCTGGAACAGGCATTTTGTTTTTCTCTTCAATAATAATAGAGGTGTTGGGAAATTTGTTCCTTGGAAACAGATTTCTATTCTATAAAAACAGAAACAACATTTGGATAGCACAAGTATTTCTTAATATTAACACAAAAACAAGTGTCATTGTGAGTCTCAAGTCACATGAATCCTAATGGTTCATTTTCCAATTATCCTTGGATATTCGATAGGAACATTGAACTGTAAGATCAATTCTAGGGGAACTCAGGTTGGGAGTTGGGAAAAGGAGTAGACGGAAGCTTAGATCATTAGGAAGTTGGGAAAATAAACCATATACGATTCAATAGTTGTCGGTAAGTAGACGTTGAAGAGTTGTTACAGCATTCACCTTGAAATAATACTAGAAGAGAGGAAAATTGAATGACAGGGTATCCAGTAACAAAGAAAAAAATGATGACAAGGAAGACAAGCAAAGCAGCGTTTACCATTGACAATGAGAAAAAACGGTGCAAAACAAGTGTTTACCTTTGTCATTCACCGTTGACAATGAGTAAAACCAAGTGCTCACTGAAGTCCTTGATCGTTCACCAAAAATCCAATGCTCAGTGCTCCTTGGTTGTGCGACAGTAGAGAGAAGTCAAAGGAAGAGGAAAGCCATTAGGGTGGAGTTTATTAGGTTGGGAAAATGTCTAAAATGCCCTTACTCTCACACGGAATAAATTTGAAGGACGATGTGAGAACCACGTATTCTCTAGGAACATGTTCTTTGACTGTCGATTTGTCACTCCCATGTTGTTCTCCCGTGAGAATGGCTCATTTCTCTCATTTTTATTTTGCAAACACGTTTCGGTTCTGCAAGAACGCCAAGAACAGGAGAAACACTTGTGGAACATTGCCAAACGGGACCTCAGATGCATTTGTTTTTTTGTAAGGGGGCACAGGAATCAAGCTCCCACTTATTTTTTAAGTGTCCATTTTACTAGAGTAATGTGGCTTCAAGCACAAATAGGCATAAATCCTGAGAGTATAACTCAAGGCTCGCCCATTCATCCATACGATTGAAATGGATGAATTCGAAAATTGATAAGCTGCCAAACATCAATACCTGTAAGCTAGGAATAACATTTATATATCGTGGAGCTAAGCCAGATACCTCGAAAGATTCTATCTCAAATTTCTCAGTTTTATATAAACAACTGAAGTAGCAATCCTCTACACCTAGCACAAATTCTATGCACAGATGGGTGCCAAACATCAATACCTGTAAGCTAGGAATAACATTTATATATCGTGGAGCTARGCCAGATACCTCGAAAGATTCTATCTCAAATTTCTCAGTTTTATATAAACAACTGAAGTAGCAATCCTCTACACCTAGCACAAATTCTATGCACAGATGGGTGCCAAACATCAATACCTGTAAGCTAGGAATAACATTTATATATCGTGGAGCTARGCCAGATACCTCGAAAGATTCTATCTCAAATTTCTCAGTTTTATATAAACAACTGAAGTAGCAATCCTCTACACCTAGCACAAATTCTATGCACAGATGGGGCAACATCAAATAATCAGTTCCTTGTCTTTGTGGATGGGCTCATTTATCCAATACGCAGGTATCTTCTTCTACATATAGGATTCTTTTTCTGCTGTAAATATTCTGCATATAAAAAGGGACCTAAATGTACTAGCTCATAATTTAGCTTGCTTTGCTTGTAAAAGGGACATATGATCGCCACAGCTATGTACATATTGAATCTATAGATGGATGAATCTCCGGTGTTTTTTGCCTAAAAAAAAGAAAAAAAAAAGTTGATGCTTTGTTGCGCTTGCAAGTTGCAATAAGAAGGGAGTGTCAAACTTCTACAAGTGGCAGTTGATCTGTAAATTAGATGTTCTTGTCGATAATTAAAGGCTTATTGCTTTGTCTTTCGGTTCAGCAACTTCTGTCAATGTCATTCTCGAGTGCAGATGTTTCTGGTATATACAACAAACTTCAATTGAGAGAATAAAAAATAGAGACAAGAAGTTTTTCATTTTCATATATATTTGTTTTTCATAAAACGCACTCAACTCAAAACGCTCATAATCACCACCAGATGTGAATAAACAATTCACAGAGGATTCAAGCACCACCCTTCTCCCTATAACCAAGAAGAACTGTTACTCTTCGCCCTCTTCATCGTTCTTGTATGAAACCAGGGTGTCCACCTTGTGTATCTGCATGTATAACATAGCCCCAGAAAGCACAACGGTCAGCTCCATTATTCTTGCATCATCATAACTTTGTTCATTAATTTTCAGAATACAATTGGCTGTTGCAAACAGTTTTACCTTGGTATCGAAGGAATGCAATTTCACCATTTGCGGATTCGCAATCAATTTGGGGTCACTCTCGATCCAGGTGAATGGGACTGCTACATCTTTATCGGTGTAAGCCAACACATCAAAGATACCTGGATAATAGACCAGTAGGAAGAACACATTGGTTCAATCAGAAAGGTTAATGGAGCATAATAATACTGAAACAAATGGGGAAGAAAGGATGGTCTGTTACAAGGTTCATCGAGGCATGGCAAGTAAGTGATGCTGGAAGCTATCTGTCTCATGATTGCTTGGATCTCTCTCATAATTTCTTTGTCGCTCTTTTCCCTTGATATCCTGTGTGATGTTCAAATCAAATAAGCTTTTAGAAAAACGCAGAGGAGGTATGGATCCATTCCTCAATCCTGTGAATCCAGATTAAATTACCCCTTCTCAACGACCTCCTTGTCGGTCTCGATACTGAAATTCCATCTCTCCAATACTTCAGATGTGGCCTTGCTCATTATTACAAGAACAACCCTCTGTAACTTGCCAGCTTCCAGCCATTCTGTCGCCCAAAATAGAAAACGAAAAGTCAGATTTTGGGTATTAGAGATGAAACAGTGATTTTGATTAGACATGGAGAGAGAGAGAGAGAGAGAACCCGATAGCTGGGCCGTGAGGTTGGCGATGAATGTTTTTACACCTTCGTCTTGGGTGAGCAACATTGGAAGGCCATACTTCTTCACCTTGACGAAGCTTTCTTCGGGATAAACTCCACGGTTGTAGAGAATACTGATTTTTTTTCCAATTAAAATTATTTTCTAGGTCCAACTGAATAAAAACTCAGACCAAAAGCTCCATACAAAATCAAGAAAGATTTGCATTTTGCTTACCTGTTTGCCGCATAACCTGTTAAAAGGTAGTAGAGATTTACAGAAAATGGGTCAAGATTTCTCAAAACGAAAAACTAATGGAGATGAAATGAAAGTAAAAGAAAGAAAGAAAGAAAAGTGGAAAAGAGAAGAAGGATTAAGATAGATACCGAAAAACTCGCTGACGATAGCTGCAGACCCCCGAAGAGTGATGATATCCTTGGCAATGGTTCTTGAAGCCATATGTATCTTTCTGCTCTAATTCAATAAAAATGGTTGCTTCCTTTTCAAGAATCGGATGACAGAGTCACAGAACAAATTTTTTGTTTTTTTTTTCAGAAAATCAAAGAGAGCAGGGGGAAATGGATCTGGTTAAATGAAATCTCGAAAGAGAGAAGAGTTTGGGCTGGGATTTTTGTTGCAGAAATGGAACAAGAGAGGAATGGCTAATTGAAAGCGAGGTTTTGTGATACTAAGGGAGAGACGGGGAAAAGATCTTAATGAAATGGATTAGGGTTTGAGCCTCTTTCTCCGTTTTCGAGTGAGAGTCGAGAAAAGTGGGGGGATAACGGCTAGTTTTTTTCTTGGCCGAGGCAGCAACGGTAGAAATTTGAAATGGCTTCTGATTAACGGCTGGATGAGTGGTGTAGGTTCCACACCCTCTTAAATAATCTTCGTATCGAGTGAACGCTGACGTGTTCACTTGTGATTGGATACATAGGCCGTTATACACAAAAGCAGCATATGCTGATATGCGGAGCCGGAGCGGAGTGGAAGAAAGCAAGTGCTAACGTAGGGAACAGAGAGCGGACAACTGTTTTGTTGGACAGTTGCCATTTGCCAGTGCTAAATCCTTATCTTATCCCACCCTGTTTTTAAGTCTAAGCAAATACCCAAAGGGTCCTTCTCTTTATGATTCCTTTTAATTATTTTATTAAGGGTAAAGCAAAGCATATGTGGGGAGGTTGAAGTAATTTAACCTTTTATTAATGACATTGGTATGCTTTTGCCTTTACGGAGGATGTCTACAAACCTTTCTTACTGCCTGTAAGTAGACATGGGCCGGGTGGCCCGACAGGTCAGCCTGGCCTGGCTCGGCCCTCGGACGGGCTTGAACATGTATATGGGCATGTAGGCTTAACCTCGGGCCAAAAAACTCGGCCTACAATAAATTCGAGTCGGGTTCGGGATTTGTTAAAATAGTCCAGCCCGGCCCAACCTATAACTAAACCTAAAACCCTAGTCAAAGACCCCTTATTTTTTTCACCTCTTTGTCTCTTTCCTTTCTTTTTCCAGTCGAACCATTCTTCTCCACATCCTCCACAGTTCACATCCTCACACTCTCAGGCAGCCACACAACCGGCGAGGCGGTGAACGTTCACCAGCGCAACAACTCCGGCAGTGAGTCTTCAACTCCTCACTCCTCTCCTTCTCTCTCTCTCTCTCTCTCTCTCTCTCTCTCTCTCTCTTTGACTCTCTTGTTCCTCTTCTCAAATCTCACTTCTCTTTCAAATCTCAGACACCAGCGACGACAAGGCGGCGAATATAGGCATCGGCTGCGGCGGTGAGTTCTCTCTCTCTCTCTCTCTCTCTCTCATAGACACGAACTGATCACTATTAAACTTAAAATCGCAAGTCGCAGCTCACAGACCATAGTCACCGCGAACTCAGTTTCGGCGAACACATTCACTGATGAACACATTCACCGGCGAACACAATCGGGCTTCGGGCTTTTTATCAGGATCGGGCTCGGGCCCAAGTTGTAGGCCCGTTCGTCGGGCTAGGCTCAGGCTCGGGCCTAACAAATTTTCATTAATGAAGAGTAAAAGCCCGGCCCGGCCCATGAACAAGTCTACTTGTAAGTTGTAATGATGAAAGATTTTCTGCAATAAATTGTAAAACTGCCTATGGGTTTATTTAAAGGAAAAAAAAAAGGTACTCACGAATTCGCATTGGCACCCCACATAGCGTGTCCCACGCATGCCCCACAGCACATCCTGACCGTTTGTTGGAACATCTCCCTTAGTTGTTATGGGGAGATGAGCTGAGCATGTGGGGCGTGTGTGGGATGCACTCTAGGGGGAACTAATCTAATCTCTCTTTCACACATCACTACCCACAACACACTTTTATGAGAGTTCCTCCACGGATTGGGACTGGGAGCATCTTTCTTGTCAATTGTCAAATTATACGGCCGTGTATTAGGAACCTCTCTCTTACACAGCTGTAGGGATGTGGGGAGAATTTTGTAGGTAGGTGATCCAAGCTCATTAATCGATTTTCACTTGGTATTATTACCTGTACAAGCATATAGTTATTGATGTTTTAGGAGTATTAGGGTTAAGGGTGCAAATCAGGTATATAATTTAAAGAATTTACATTGAGCTGGGCCTAGTCTTTCAGTCAGGCCCATTAGGTTAATAAATTTTCAACCCAAGCCTGCTCAAGTTGCCCTAACGAGTATTATATTTACATGATGTTTGAAAAAACAATGTTATATAGGTTTTTCTATATTTTTTCACACAAAACAACCAAACAAAATTCCAAAAGTTATTAGACTTTATATTCACATCATGCAGTTGATTTGTAACCCCCCCCCCCCCTTTCTCTTTAAGTTGATAGTGAAGCAAAATTCAACCCCACTGATCTTGTAATTGAGCCTTGTGAACGAACTGTGAAATCGAAGTCCTACTTATCTTTTTCACAACAACCATTAACCTAAGGTTGAAACTTGGGCAGGCTCAGCCCAAGTCCAATTTGACCCAATCCAAGCATGGGTTGGGCCTGAGATTTTTGGGATTCAGGCTGGGCTTAGGCAAAAAATTCTCAGGCCTGACCTAAACTGAGGTTGGCCATGGGTTGAAGCCTTAGGTAGTCTGAGCCCAACCCAAATTGAGTCGGCTCAAACAAATATATGCATTCATTTTATGGTTACACAAGAATATATTCAAAAAAATCTTTCAAACCTGATCAACCTGCATATGCCTTACTAAGTCCAGACCGAATTATGTTGGATTGGGCCTGCATTAATAAATTCAGGATTTACCTTGGGTTGGGCCAGGCCCGAGCCCAAGACTTACATCTTAGGGTTGGGCTAGTGTTGACCATCAACTCAGCCAACCCATCAGAGTTGCACCACTACATCAACATCATCGCCTAAAAGCCCCTTCACCGTAAGATCTTCATCTTCATGACCATAGTACCACTGGGTGTTCAGTGTTGGCTATAATCAGTTAATCACAACAAAGTAGATATGAGCCCCATCTCCTTTGCATTCAGCATTATGGGACAAAGTACCTTTTCCTTGTCGAGAGCACCCACCACTAAAACCATTGTCAAGAAAATGACAAGTTTTCAAATCTAATAGATGGAATTGGAATCCAACAAAAAGTTGCAGAGAACCTTCCATCAATTTCATTATAACTGCTCCATGAGTCTACTCATTTGGTACCTCCAAAAGCTTATAATATCAACAAGCATCATTTTGTCCTTTAATCAGAAAAAAAAAATATATATTGTAAAGAAAAGAAAAGCAGTTTCTTACCATTTCTGAACTTCCAAGCAGTGTAGACTGTTAGAGACATTGAAGCAAGGTAGATATTACCAAAAAAAAAAAAAGCAATGTAGCCAAGCTGCCCAGGGTAATTTTCTCACAAAATAACTGAATCTGAAGAATGGAGTAAAGTTCAAATTTGATGAAATTCAGATATAGGCATCCAATCTTAATGAGACATGACAGCCTATACTAGCTAAAATACATTAATCCTCTACGATAGTATCAATTGAGAAACCCAAAATCAAATACAAACAATTTACCTACAAATCTTGCCTCCGCCCACTTTGTCATAGCCCGCAAGGAGATGACCCAATGACAGCCTGTGATTTCAGAGTTTTGTGGCCCAACGTAGCAACAACTACACTTGAACTCGCGGAGACATTGTCTGATTGTCTCCTCTTGTGTTTTGAATTGTTGATTAGTGCAAAGGAAAAAGGGATTATAGCTATTATAAAGGTAACTTTTGGATCTAATATTTTTATTGTAATTTTTAAAATAGGTTAATTTTTTTAAAAATATCAATTAAAAGTAAAAATACTATTTATCTAGCAACCTCTTATAAATCATTCTAGCAACCTCGGCTAATGCTTCCGCTTACCTCGACGGCCTCCATCTCTGACAAATCCTATAATTTAATTTGGAAGGAATTGTATTGTTATAATTCGTACAATGCTAACACACCCTTGAAGAGCTCCCTTGTGAGTCCACCAATGTCCGGAATTAAAAGACAAAGCGTCGGCACCCCTCCAGGCGTATGCATTACCGGAAATGTCCTTCAGCTTCAGAATTCTCCTCCCCTGCACCGCGTCTACGCCCACCAGATGTGGAGCTCTGTAGAACGATACAGACACTCTGTATTCCTATCACCGAGAAATATGAGCTGGATTAAAGATTTGTTTGGATGCTCCGCCAGCTTTCAGGTCATTTCTATCGCTAATGCCTAATGCAAACAAAATAGGAGAAAGCTTGAACGTCTGACGTCTAAAGCAACAGTAGAGAGTCCTTTAACTTACCAAAAACTTTGAACGTGGACAGAAGATCTCCTTTCACCAATTGGGTCGGCGACCGTGGAACCGCCGTGGATATCGTGCAAATTAGAGACTGCCATTGGTTCCGCCCCAGTGAATCCCCCATGAACATCACCGTCTTCCCTCTCATCCTCACCAGAAAATCAAGCCCATTGAACTACAACCGCCACGTACTCATCATCAAAAGGTAGAAATTAAAGAGGTATCGTCTCAATATCTCATGCATGATCAAAATAAAATGGGATGGTGGAGATAAATAATTACGTACCTGGGGAGCTCACAGTCGAGAGGCTTCCAACGATACTTCTGGTAATCGGGGTCGATGATGGGACAGTTGGAGAAGGAGAAACAGAGGCAAGAGCGATTAGACGGTGGCTTTGGGATGAGGCAGAGGCGGAAGTGGGTGGAGACAGCAGAGGTAAGTGGAGGCTTTGCCAGAGGTTGTCGGAGGCGGCAGCGGGCGGGGGCGCTGATGAATGATAGTATTTTTGTTCTTATTTAATATTTTTTAAAAAATTTAATATATTTTAAAAATTATAATAAAATTATTATTTTCATTGATACTAGAGTCCAAAAATTGCCCTTATCAATTATAATCCCAAGAAAAAAAGTCATTATTGAATACTTGAATGTCTTCCTTGTTGTTCCTAATAATTACAACTGATTGGATTAGGTTACGGTTAACTGTTGAGGTCTTAGGCAAAATAACCTGATATATCTTAATTTTGTAAATATAATAATGATAATGCATCTTCATATCTATGTATATCCAACAATTATAAATTTAAGAAAGAGGAGTTTTGTCCTGTGCAGACATTACAAATAGACTTGTTGATGGCCAGGTTTGAATTGGGCTTTGCCTTTTTAGGCTCAGTTTGGAAGGAGTATAAAAATATAAATCTGTACAGTACAAATCTATACAGAATAATATAAAATACATACTTTTGCACTCTACAAATTTGTATTTGTATTCCTTCCAAATTGAGCCTTACAAACAAAAAAATGATTAGGCTCGGGCTTGAACCCGGTCCTATATAAAGCTCAAAGTCTGGACTCAATCCCAAAGTCCCATTTGAATAGAAATTTTATAATATATTATTATTATTATTATTATTATTATTTTATATATTTGGGCTTAAGAATTTGTCGAAACCTGATATATAGGATGAGCCACACTTTGCCAGCCCATGAATAGATCTAATTACAAGAGAATAAAGAAGAATTGCTGTCCTATGAAACATAATGGGATCGAAAGATTTTGGCCAAATACATGTGTGGATTTTGATGTAGGTCGAATTGCCCAACTTCCCTACTGAAGGATAGCTCGGACATGTGGTGGTTGATGTTAGGAAACTGATATGCAAGAAATAGGATCAGAGTATCAAGGAGCTTGAACCCAGGTTTAGCACTCTAATGTTTAAGTTAGTTGAGTTAGAAAGAAAGAAGCGGAGAGATTCAGAAAGAAAGAGAGCTTGTTTGCACTCAATTGTGTGTACCTTGTGAAGGTATGGAGGTACCTTTTTATAGGTTTCGGGGCTCGAGTGGCATGTCTGAGATATCCGGGAGTGATAGGCTTATCGGCCCGTTATCTTTGGGGCACATTCTACCAGCGTTGGTGATGATCTTCATCCAATCTCTATGAAGTAGGCGGATCCAAGGTCATCCATACCATGTGGGCAATGTGCCACCATCTATTTTGAAACCGATAGGCGTGATAACTGGATAAGGATAGCTTACCACATTGGTCGGTACTCCGAATGCTAGCTAGCTACTCAAGTTGTTGGCTGTTCAAGTTGGGGAGGACAAGCTACTATCCAAATTTATCGGCTTGCTCCTCCGAGGTGATGTCATCCATTTTGCCGTGGAGTGACCTAGTGATCCTCCGTCGATTGAAATCTGATGAGGCACAATCCGGCCGATCTTAGCTGTCAACGATCTTGCCTTTGAACCGGGTGGCTGGGACCTGAAACGGAGGGAGAAGAGAAGCTCCGGGGAGAACCCGGCGTAAGGGCTCCGAAGCTCAAGTTAGAGTCTTTCAAAGGCAAGATAGACCAGATAGCGCCCAAGTTAGCATACCTCGTTTCTAGGGGGTAGGAGCCTTTTATAACCACCTCGCGCACTCACTTCCAGGCTTCCGTCAGATCG